GGGGGGGGGGGGGGTAGCACTTGCCCTGCTGCACTCCCCACTGTGTACAGCCCTGTTTTAAATCTTATCTGCTATTATAATAAGTGATGAAATATTTCAATTGTCCCATGTCATCTTCATTATTCAGTTTCTTTCAAGAAAATACAAAATGGGAATCACTTTTTTCCGCAGATACATGTACGCGTCGCGTACCTATTTTTTAAAACATGTTATGATTGTTATCTGACACCGGGCGGCTTTCTATGTGAAAATATAGTCAATTTTGCAATAATAGACATTTATTTCAGGTGAAATGTCAATAAATATAATTTCTGGTGATTTTTTAAATAATCAAAATGCGACTTGGCGATTGTTACATAACGTCATTTTTGACATTTGTTGTAGAAATGTCAAGGGCTCTAAAATTTGATTTTTTCAGTAGCCCAAAAATGTTATTACAGTTTCTCAAAGAGGAAACGTTGTTGTTTAATCTTGTTAAAATCTTATTGCCTCAAGGCATGTAGCAATATGCGTTTTTCGGTGTTGAAATAAAGCAATATTTTCATATGTGAAAAATCACCCAGGTTTAAAACTTCCGAAAATATCGGAATTCCAGTCAGTGTCCGAATATAAAACAGGAAATTGTCGAGAAATGTCTGTTATTTCGTAATATTATTGTAGTTATTGAAATACTTCAACGCTAAATTTTTTAACGATTTTTTTAGGAGGTGCAGTGAATGGGCCTTGAAATTAGCTTGTCAGCTGTGAAAAGAGAAAATCGGCCCGTTCTCCTGAAATAAGAACCTGATGAAGTTTTTAGTATTTTTTCCTTGAATAGTTCATCTAGGCGTACATTAGGGCCAAAAAAGAAAAATTTCAATTTTTTCTATATTGCACATCTTTGGTCGATTTTTACAGACGGCCGCTCTTAAGGAGCCGATAATGGTCTCCCCGGCTGCTTTTAATAGTTTATTTGAAATTTTATCCAAACCTGTTGATTTAGTATCTAGTATTTGGAATTTATTTGCTTTTCTGTGGAATATGGTGCCTAATACATCTATAAGAGGGTCCTGAAGGGGTAAAATGGGAACTGGGATGATCTCTTTTTAGACTGGGAAAATGGGATTTGGGTTGCTGGGACTGGGATTTGGTCACTGGGAATGGGAAATGAAGTCCTCAAAAATGGGAATGGGATTGAGGTAATGCGAGTCGATTCCCAAGTTTTCTACGTTTTAAGTGTTTTAAAATACAATTTTGATTCGTTTTTGGTGTCTTTGGTCATGATTGTTGTTGTTAACTATGTTTTTCACAGCACTACCTGCGAACAGGCATACTCTGGCGTCTGGGTTTTCTGATTATGTGTGTCTCAGAATGCTGCAAATGCCATTTCCGGGATTCAAATTTAAAAGTTTTCCGTACTTTTGGCACAACCCCCCCCCCCCCAATTTCATAAAGTGTGCGCCACTTGCACACACGGTGGCTTAAAAGTCTTAAAACTGTTTATTGTATAAATAATAGGATAAATATTGGATAAATAAAGGGTTTTTTTATTGACTGGGATTTCAATAACTTGGACTGGGATTTCTAATAAAAATCCAACTGGGACTGGGATTTTGCCAAAATTTCAGGTGGGAAATGGGATTGGGACCACCTCCCGCCCCCCCCCTTCAGGACCCTTCTATAAATATGCTTGACGGCGGCCATCTTGGATTTAGCGGCCATCTTGGATTTGACGGCCATCTTGGATTTAACAACTTTAAAAAAATATCATTTGCAAGTTCAGATTCCTATTCAATGCCGGTTTTACATGTATTTATAGGTTATAAACATGCCTAGAGGCTTAACTCCACCAAGTGTAATTGTATAACTGTTTTATTTTGGTTTCTGTTCAAAAATTGGGGCCATCTTGGATTTGGCGGCCATCTTGGATTTTCGATGGTCGAAATAAAGAGGTTGCCATGGTCGGATTCGGGTGGATTTTTATGTGTGTACTATTTGGCCGCATATAAACAGATTTAAGGTAGTGGGATTTGTTACATATTTTGTCGAACTTAAGTCATTCGTTTACTGGACTATTAAGGTACACCAAATCTTCGACGCGGACGTGTCGAAAAACTGCTGCTATTTTCACTGTTTCACTTCACGGGTAAAATTTATTGATTGTTAATTGTTGGTAAAAAAAAGTCAGAGACACGAGAAAAACAAAGTAAAATTGATTTCCGATTATTGGCGACTGTTTTTTAGTTGCGTTCGCGTCGTAGATTTGGTGCATCTTAAGCTCCCTAATACTGGAGTGATATCCCTAGATGTCCCTAAAGCCCGTTTTCCACCAGGCGAATTTGATGGCGCGAATCAACTTTTTCCTTTGTCGGCATCGCTAAACACGTCAGCAAAACGATGTCGACAAAGCACCTGTACGCAGAACAGTTTAGACCTGATAGAGATATCCATAATATATTAAAGGAACTGGAAGTCACAATCAATTACATAGAGTGGACAATATATGTATATACATCAATTACATGTGCGCAACACTCGGACAACATTTGAACAACCCTACAACTTACCCCGTCTTTATTGTTAAGTGTTTCAATTCGTTTATTATACTGATCCACCATATTCTGTTTCCTCTTAATGATGCAAATAACGTGTCTGGGGTCCATACTGGTTTGCAAGCGCGTATCAAAGAGCTTTCTCTATCAGCGCTTTACCCGCACTGCTACGCGCATGTTTTGAATCTAGTGATCGTAGACATCATGACCAACAACACAGTAGCAAAATCTTATTTGAAACACTGCAAAATTTATATGTGTCTATTTATATGTGGGCAATCTACAATACATTCGAAGCGGTAATCGCAACACTAATGGAGGTCAGGGCGAAGGGAAACAAGTACGATCGTACTATGGGAACAGGAACTGGTCGATGTTGCATGTCTTTGAAGTTAAGTTGAAGGTTCGAAATTGCGAATTAGCAAATAACCGAATTAACGAATAATTGCCAACAATTTTTAGTATGATATTCTCATTTCATTAAACCCAGCGGGTTTAATTTATTTAAAATTCAATGGTCTATGACTGGTCTATTTATGTCAACAACAATACAACTGACAAGTCTATGGTGGCCCAGCGTTACCATAGTAATATACCTGTTTTATTTATAATAAGATGTGAAAAAATAGTTAAAAATTAATAAAAGCAATATGAAATTAAAATTTAAAAAAATACATGACATAAAAATATAGAAAAAATATTTGAGTAAAATTTAAACCAAAAACAAAAAATAAATTAAGAAAAAAAAATTGAACAGAAAACAAATTCATAAATTTATGAAAAACTGGAAAAACAACTAAAGGCACTAAAACATAAAAAATATAAAATAAAAATCCAAGTCTTTGTTATGGTTTACATTTGTCTGTGAACATTAATGATATGCATATAATTATTTTACGCGTTCAGAAAAGAATTTCTTGTACGTTGCCCCCTAAATCGAAGATATCTATGAAAGGATCGGACACGGTCAATCGACGAGAAATATCGTTTTAAATCATCGTGCCAAAGTTCATGACGACTGGACGCGAAATGGTCGAGCGTTAGGCTTTTTCGAACAGCGTCGCCGCCTAACAACAACAACAACACCAACAACAAGAAGATTAGCAGCGATTGGGGACCAGTTCCTGGTCCAAAAAGCCACATATTGCTGCAGAGGCAAAAGGGTTGCTTCCAAACATCATGCAGCGACTTCGAGTTTATTCTAGCTTTGGAGGTATGCACAACCTTATTAAATATATATTCTTAAGTTCAATGCCTCATAATAATTTGTACTCATAGCTCATGCATGCAGGTATTTATCAAGGTGAAACTTTCACTAAATGTCACCCATGCATATATACCAGGGCGCAGGTTGCTCATTCGATTTACTACAGTATATTAACCATGCAACCGCTCAACCAGGCAAATCCTATTTACAACTCAGTATTAAACGGGAATAATTTTGAGGGTGTACTATATGAGAAGCTAGGAATTGGGATTTCAGATTTGATCATTAAAAAAGCAGACTTAGTTATATTATTGCCCAAGAAAGTTCTGCTTCTAAGTAAAGGGGTGTCGGATAAACTGAAGTCAGAAGACTTGGACGTTCTTACTGGCTGCGAGAGGGTTACAGATCTGCTCACCTCAGTCACGACTCTTCGTTGCGAACCAAAGTTTGAAGCTTTCTGGAAAAGTACTTTCCAAAAATGCCGCATACTAAGTACTGAAAAACCAAGAGATGAACTCGTGTGTAAGATCCCTCGGCGAATTGACAACAACCCCCAAACCGCCGGTCCACCTTTCACCGAAAGACAAGTTTAGAGTTTCTTTCTATTATAATGTAAGTCATTTGATTATGTGTGTATAAAGAGTTCGCACTAAAGGTCTAAATATAAACTGTCTCTAATACACCTACTTTTATTCAAGGTGGGGTAGGTGTAATATAGAGACAGTCTAAAATTACATTCTACTAGATCTTATGAGTTCTTCAATTGAAAGCCGCTTCAACAAACATAATGCGCCAGTTCTAAAAGGTTCTCGGATACTTGGGTCCATCTCAGATAGCCAATACGGAAGCTTGGGAAAACATATTGTTAGCCGTCCAATGGTTCCGAAGTGACCCAGATGTCGACATATAATTAGAGAGTGAAATCTTTTTTCTGCAGACATCATTGTTGCTTGCCCAACGTAAATGAAAAAACGAGGTCCGAGAAGAGAAAAGCCAGTTTTAACGACCTATTCAAGACGTGGCAAGGGGAACCAGAATGCTATGGAAACGTCATAAAGATAATGAAAATAGCTTTGACACTACCACTTACCTCAACTAGTGCCGAAAGGGCATTTTCGAAGCTGAAACTGATCAAGTCCAGACTACGGTCAACAATGAAGCAAGAAAGGCTAGAAAGTCTTATGCTGATGTCCGTGGAAGCCGACTTATTGGAGCAGCTTGATCTAGAAAACCTTGTACAAAAATATATAGCGCCCAGAAAAATGAATTTAGTTTAAATTTAGTTAGCAAATGTGTGATGATGACAACAATTTTTTTGTTTAAGGTTGTTAATGCTCCCCTTTGTAGTCCTGATAATTTTTCTATGCCCCCCCCCCCTTACATGACTTGCTCAACCTAGGGAATATTGTTTTATTAATCCCCCCCCTCCTTTCTGACTATACCGATCAAAGTGCAGTCAGCCTTTACAAACTTAGTGCACATAGACAAAGGATGACATATTATTGCCTACTATTTCTTATGATTTTCCTAATTATTTGAAGTGTTGATTTATTAAATAATGCTGTAATTTAGACCAGCATACGAATACTTCCTCAAAAGTCATTTTACAGAGACATGCATTTACAGCATTTGGAGTAGGTATTACATTACACAATATACCCAACAAGTTTTTGTGAAGAAAATGTCTTTTTTAATCTAAAGAAACATTGATATATGCTACAAATCAAAGCTCAGGAAATTTTTGGTGACCTCCCACACTGCCTGCCATACTTTTAGGTAATTTTTCATAGCCCCCACTAAACTGCTGAGTCGAAAAATTATAACCCCCTTAAAATCACCATAGCCCCCCTCTAGTTAAATTATGAACGCTCCCTAATTTAATCATTATCAAGAGTGATAATTATAATGTTGACTGAAGCGTTTCATGATTTATTCCAATTTTGGACGTTGCATGCTATTGAGAATTACCAAAGAATGATTATTCAACCGTCTTCAAGATAAAGCACTTGTTTATTAATGCGATTGAAAGATCTGCCATGCATGCACAGCATCTTAACCACACTATCAACATGTCAATATCCGGGTGCCACAAGTGTGCCTTCATGTCGCCAATGCACCTGACGTGTTTAAGTAAGCGTTTAGTGAATCATTTCCAGCACGCCAAAAGCTTGGTTATATCTTCATTAATGCGATAATTTATACGTGTTGGTCAAATAGATATCTTCTATTAAACATAGAGTTTAATTAAAAGAACTTCAGTCGTAGACGTCTTCACTCCGGCTAGAATTGAAGGGTGATCAAGTCGAGGCAGGAACGCACATAATGAGGAAGGATATGTGGAAGGTTTAAACCCCAAATTATTAGGGGAGGGGGGTTGGCGGGGGTTGACTTTTATTATTTTCTTGACTCGCACTCATTCGAATGGCGATACAAGCAAAACAATTATTTGACGAATCGTCTTGAAATTTGGACATCAAATACATTGACTTCGTATCTATCTTCAGTGAGATTTTGGTGGTTGTCCGGCTAATAGGTTGGGAGATGTAACATTTTCCCTTTTTCGCACAAAACGCCTTAAACATTTTAGGTTTATCAATCTCTTTTGATATTAATGGTTAACTAACTTAAGCTGCTTTTCTATAGCATACAGTGGAAGCAGAGTGCAATTATAAATTCTAATTATCCTAATTGCCTCATTTAAGATGTCACTGGACCTTCAAATTATTGCTAACACTTTATCCAAATGTTTCAATAGTCAAACGAGATATATATTCCTGTTCTTGCGGCGTCGTAGGAAAAGATGAATCTTCTATAAGGTTTCATCTACGTTTTAAACAGAAAAAAGTAGCTTATCCACTTTAGGAAACTTTTATCAATAGACATGCATGCAGACAACATTTTTAGCACCGCATCGACAGCATACAGTGACGCTAAAATTTGTTTGGATGGAGACATTTTGAACAAAATTATTGGCGTTACAGCACGAAGTAAAACTGGCAGTAATATTGATTTTCTGTAGTGCATAAATGGCAAATAAGCTGAGAGTAAGTTTCACGATTATTTAGCGGACATAGATATAACCGAAGGCTGAGATTTCCTTAGCTCCATTGCCTGTGCGGGAAGGATAAATATATCCACTCGACCAACGGAGCCCATTAAGATCAGTGCCAAATCCAATCAAGCCTTCTTCCTGGCCACATGTTTTTTGAGCGAGATAACCAATTCGTACTCGTTTCTGTGTTGGGTTACTAGCTAAACGTGTATTGAAACCTTCATATTCACAATTATTCGGAAGCTTTGAATCATCAACGAGAGATTCCCATTTTGACTTGCCAACGTTCACAGTTTTAAACATTCCATCTGCCAACAAACTGTAGAACGAACTTGCTTCATATTCAATACCAATCCAGTTTATGGAAGATCCATCTGAATTGACAGTCATTCCCAGACAGATCTTGCTGAATGGTGTGTTGTTGTACGAAGCCAACTTGGTCTCTAGGGCATTTCCGTCCACTCCTCCTTCAACGTTCAACGTTTGGTGGTTTTCCCACAATTCGGAGTCATACTTAAATGTTTGCTACAACGATACAAAAATGTATTTAGCGCTTAACAGTTCAAAAATGACATTGTTGGCATGGAATACCCAGCTAAGGATATCAATACACATGAAAGTTCATATAAAGATTTGTAATAATTTTGGCATTCCGACCTATGTTCTTAGCTTCACACCATCAGTGTTTGTTTCTCATCTGGGTATCTAGCTCCTTTGCTTTCAACCGCACCAAAGCCTCCTTTATATAAGTTGAACATACTAGGAATACATGCATGCAACAACCCCTCGATCGTCAACATTTTGCAAAAACCGTTCGAACATGAAATATTCTTAATTTTGCTACACTGGACGCAGGCTCACGTTGCTTGCGTCAACAATCTTGTACAGAGAGTATGCTCGTTTGCAGGTTAGGTGCTGAGCACCTAACCTGCAAACTGGTATACCCTTGGTAGGAGATTGCATAGCAACACGATCTTTGTTTTTTAAACTTTTGTGCCAATCAGCAAAGATGAATGAATGTTTTATACTTTTAACCGCAGAATTACCGATTTCTAAAATATTTAACTTAAAGTAAGCATGTTATTTTGCATTCTTTGACCTTTATTCTAATGTAAAATTAGACACGAAACGCTATGTAAACGTTTTTTAATGTTTATTGAAATTAACTGCTATATGTTTCAGATCAGTGTGAGATGACCACCCACGGATGACCATGGACCCGCGGTTGTTGATGAACTTTAGAATTCGCGAATACTTTCCCTTCCCCGGGTGGAAATAGCCGAGCGGAATTAGCACCCCTTGCCGCGGGCTTCGCCGTACGAGCTCCGCGCGTGGCTCGGGGTAAATCATGAACAATCTGTATCTGACTGATTCACAAAGCGAGGAGAAGGCGAGCTCAGATACAGATTGAAGGCAAATGCTATTTACTACTTGCAATACGAATTCATCCAACTTATCAAGTTTGTCAACTATTTGAACATGTCTAAACGAGAAGACTTTGCCCGCGCGTGCAAAGCGGCCGTTGACCCGGCCTAGTTGGCAAAAGCTAAATTAATTGGCTCTTCAGACGTGCCTTGTGAATACGTAGATCAGTGACGAGGAAAGGGAGACACGAGTTCTAGTCTACTTTAAGGTAGACGGAATTTGAAAAAGTTAAAAATAAAATGTTAAAGAGAATGGTGAGCCTAATGGAAAACATCCATTAGTCTCATATCAATGAATTTATTTATGGTGTGTTAATTCATTACATCACTTATGGGTCTGTCCGTTACGTCAGTATTAAAAATACGTTCATGCAGCTACTCCTCGCCCAGAATATCTGCAACCCCCAAAAATATTGGGTTAGCATAATGTATTTACTAAAATATCGTTGGCGCCAATTAGCCTTTCTCAAGGAAGGGCAAAATCCGTCATTTTTGGGGTATGTCTGCCCACGTGAAAGATTCTAGACAATTCAAAAATTTGAAAAGCAAACTTTTAGAAGTTGTAACTGTACATTACGATGTAAACAACTATTCAATACTAAAATTGAATTTTGTGGTGCGGAAATTATCAAGCATGGGGGGGCAGTACCACAAAAATGGCGGGAAAATTGGCCGCGAGAAAGACTAATTAACTTGAAAATTATATTAATTTGTAATATTAAATATAAAAATAATGTTTTAATTAAAAACTGTATAATAAAATAGTTTTATATATGCTTTTGGCATAAAAATGATTTTTTGACATTTTGGTAAAACGTTTCGGAATGTTGAAAAACGGCCATCGGTGCACACTTCCAGCGAGGTTTTAATAAAGTTGATAGCCTAATTTATATGTAATTAACAGCCTTATGACAACTATATGACAACTATATATAGCTGGTAACAATCTTCTTGCATTGGTTTTCAGCTGTTATAAATATGATTCGCGGAACAGGGGTACTGTAATAGTAAGATTATATTATTAAAACCATATAAAAAGCAATATAATTAGATATCACACATCCCATTTGCCATTATTTCATGCTCCAATTAAAATAGCTAAGGTACGAGTTCGTCGGAACCCTTTGGCACTGAAAAGGTTTGGGTGCTAAAGAAAACTACAGATCGCTGGCGAAAGCTAGCTAGAAGGTCTGGGCATCCTGCCGCCCTGTCTGCTTACAGGAATTATATACTAGATCGAGGTCAAGCGAGTATTACGTCTATATAGCACAGAGATCGTGTATCGAACAGAAAGAAAACTCTAATAACTCCAGCAATATGTGAAAAATTATGCGCACATGTATTCCAAAAAAATCCAGTGGAAATAATTGCTTAGATGGAAATAAATCTGCACCAATAACTTTAACGTTATGAAAATCAAATCACTTGCTAAAGAAATCAATCACCTTCAGTCACGTCTGCCCAGTTTGCTTTTGAGCCTGTAGAATCAACCTTAGTGGAATATATTGTGAGATATATGCCAGATAAGAAAGCACCGTGGATAGATAAAAATACCAATCCGCGTTGTCAACGATTGTCTACGCGTTATTGTACCATGGATAAGTTCTATCATACAATTTGCTGATGAACAATATTTTTCAAAGTGCTTGGAAAATCGCTGATATGATTCCCATTCCCCAAAACGGTGATCATGAGAAACCTGATAACAATGTACATTTTTACCTATATTACCAGTTCTTTCCAAAATATGCGGGCAGCACTTAATAAAACATAACGTCTTAAGGCTAGTTTCCACTCAGGAAAATTATCCGTGGATTGGAACGGACTAAAAAAATTTGCTTTGTCTTGTGAGCTCTGGGTTGGAACTAATGACTCTAACACAAGGAAAAATTTTCTTATCCGTTCCAAACCACGGATAACTTTCCTGAGTGGAAACTAGCCTTAACTTGACCATAAACCGTCGTATCTCTGTGAATCAGGGCCCAACAAAGCGTGGCAGTCAACGGAAACCTCCTTTATTAGTTCTACTGACTCCATCCTGAAAGCTATTGACCAGAGGAAAGTAACAGCAGTGTTACATTTGGACATAATCCTACTTGCTAAACTGCAGGGGCCGATTGTATAAAAACGTAGTTAGCGCTAACTGTAGTTAGCGTTAATCACTGTAGTTAAATCCTTAACTGTAATTAGTTAACTACATGACTTAACTGCGTTGCACAAAACGTAGTTAGTCGGATAGTTAACTAATCAGGTAGTTAACTGTGCGTGGGGCTTGCGTGGGGCGCTTAAACAGAAAATTACATAAAGTAAGCAGCGAGTAATGACCGCTGACACACATTTTCAACACGATTGTGGACTCGTATTTTGCAAATAGGCGGGAATTTTATTCAAAACACTAGAAAACAGTGAAAAATAAACAAAAATAAAGAAAAACCGCCACAAAAATGATAAAAGAATGCAGTTTTTCCTTGAGATGTCTACGTTAAAGCAAGGCATAGCTGTTTGGCAATTATATATCAGTGTTTCTTGGTGTAATGGACCATACTTCTTCGAGAAATCCTCCTGTGCAAATATATGTTCTGTTTTCGTAAAAACACCAAAGCGATAGCGTTTGAAGAGTTTATATTGTCAGGAAACATTCACAGGGAAGATAGCGATTGAAAATCTCAGGTAACCGTTGCTTTTCATTGTTGTTTTACTGAAAAATGTTGTTCACTCCTATACAAACTCCATTTTTAACTACGTTTTGGACAGTTAACTATACCCTAAAGCATAGTTAACTTTAACTACTTTTTAACTGCAGTTAGCGCTAACTACGTTTCTATACAACCGGCCCCTGCATGTTACATAGGAATCACGTCTGTCGCCAGAAAATAGTGGTTCTTGTTACCTTTATTAATTGGCATATATAGTTGACTTTTTTATATTTGGCTTTATTGATACTCCCCTGAAGGGCCTTTTCAGTGACAATTAGTAAAAATTAATTCAGAAATTTGCATTTGCAATCAATTTTAATATATACATGTAGCGAGTGCGGAATCCACTTTTCTTGTTCATTTAAAACCTCGGAAGTTATCTCAAAACAATTTAACAAAATTGCGGCTGTAGCTCATTTTATTCATGCACCTTCTGCCTTTTGTGAATATTTTAAGCAGAATATATATATATATATATATATATATATATATATATATATATATATATATATATATATATATATATATATATATATATATATATATATATATATATATATATATATATATATATATATATATATATATATTAGGGATAGTACATTTATTACACCGAGGGAGGGGGATGAAGATGTCTTGAAAAACGCTCATATTTTTACAGGGCCCCTGTTGAGGTTATCGGTAAATTTCGATGCCCCCCTCCAAGTTTTTAAAATTTTCAATGCCCCCCCCCCCTCTAGAATTCGGAATCGAAGGAGTACAATCCGGAATTCTCTCTTATCATAGATACAATTTGCAGTTCCTCAAGATATCTGATATACTCAAGTGCTTCTCCTCAACAAAACTACCGATCTGCTGCTTCTTTCATCTCACTAGCGCCAGATGAAATGGCACCGTCTTTAAAACATTTTAAATTGGCTCTAGGGGTGGAATTATCAACAGGTTGTTGTTGTCCATCATTGAGCGTATTCGGAGTCTTGAACACGTTCATGTAGTGGCCAGGATTTCCTGGATCAGGGTAATGTGCTGGAACCTTACAGTATGTTGCCCCCACCCAACGTATCTCCCGGCATCTGTTGCAAATGTCTTTGCATGCCTGTCAAAAATGCATGCAAAAGTGCCAGTATGCTTCAATTTCTTTAATTTCCATCCCGTTTGTACGAAATATCCCATAAACATAGAACATGTCATTCTTGCAAATTGTATATGCTTTTTTGCTTTTTGGCACGTAAATTACTTCACAAACCTGGCGCAGTTAAAATAAGCTATAGGTGATTTCATGTATCCATTTAGAAGAGCAGACTAAGGATATCTTAAAACTGAAATCGGTTTCGAATACAACCATCAGGGACGTAGCAAAGCATCTGACGTTTGGAGTGGGGGGGGGGATGTCAGAGGATTATACGTGTAATATATAATAAAGCTTTTTGTGATTGATTGGCACTCTTATACTAAGTTTTGGGAGAAAAGGAGGGTCTGGGGGTCCTCCCCCAGAAAATTTTTACATTTTCGAAGCTCTAGGACTGAATTTCTGGTGTTTTCTAAAGCAAATTTCGCAAACAAATTGCATGTAAATTGACTGTATTTCACAAAAATAGTTATCATTTCACAAAAATAATTACTTTATTACGCAAATTT